ACTGCACCTCTGCTGTCGCTGAGTGACAACTTCACTTTCGCACTAACTTACCCATTTGCCCTGCGTTGGGCGCCAAGCATTCTTAAAGTGGTTGACAGGTTCTCTGAGTGGGGGCTCCCCGAGCTCTGGCATTGGCCAGGGCAAGGAAGAAGAATGGAGAGAGAAAGCGAAGGGTGAGAGAGGGAGAAAGGAGCTATGAGGAAGAGCAATGTGATCTTGCTATTTAAAGACATGATCACCTAATTAACCTTGTAGGGCAGTGACTAATTCTAACACCTCACCCACTACAACTGTGGCAAGGTCTGCAATAAGTCTCATTAAGTGGCTCTTTTTCAAATTCGTACACTGAGGCCAGACGCAGACTCACTTGTGCTTTTATGTTATTTTTGCTATAGGTTTTTAAAATATGCACTCTGATTATCAGCACATCTGGGCTTGTCGTTTGACTTCGTGCCTGACAGCTGAATAAATATACTGCAACATTAAAACAGACAAATAATGGCTCTTCTCAAAGGCTTCTTGACATTCATCTGTGCAAATGATAGAAAAGGAGACAGAATGCATTTAATCTGAGGGCGAGGGAGACGTCCTTGAGGATAGAGCCATGAAAAGAGATGAAAGGTTTATTTAATCTATTTCCAAGGTAAATGATCCCACGTCACTGCTCCTCTCTCCTGCGAGCCACTGATCTTGACTGAAAGCTGCGCCGTGCCATTACATTTTCTCAAACGCACATAATAGGTGTAATTCTTTTTTGGTTTGTTTCAATCTGTTTTTCTTTTAAAGTGTTTCCAAAACTTTGTTGTTAGCATTGCTGTATTTCAACCATTTTTGGGATATGTCTACAATGAGTTGATCGAACTACTTAAAGGTTACACTCCACTGTATAAAAAAAGTGAATTTGCTCCCCTAATGTTACAAATGTTATCCCTGTGCAAATGATAGAAAAGGAGACAGAATGCATTTAATCTGAGGGCGAGGGAGACGTCCTTGAGGATAGAGCCATGAAAAGAGATGAAAGGTTTATTTAATCTATTTCCAAGGTAAATGATCCCACGTCACTGCTCCTCTCTCCTGCGAGCCACTGATCTTGACTGAAAGCTGCGCCGTGCCATTACATTTTCTCAAACGCACATAATAGGTGTAATTCTTTTTTGGTTTGTTTCAATCTGTTTTTCTTTTAAAGTGTTTCCAAAACTTTGTTGTTAGCATTGCTGTATTTCAACCATTTTTGGGATATGTCTACAATGAGTTGATCGAACTACTTAAAGGTTACACTCCACTGTATAAAAAAAGTGAATTTGCTCCCCTAATGTTACAAATGTTATCCTAGCTTAATATGCAGAGACAACTACAATTAAGCCAGATATAAAGAAGATGCTATTAACATTGTGCATTCCTTCAGGCAACTACATCAGTCTGACACAGCAACACTGCCACAACCAATTATGTGATTTAGGGGCGGGACTATCTCTTTGTTTGGCCAATGTAGGATAGAGGGTGTGTCCTGGAGACCTATTCGAAAACAATCATTATTTTGGCAACTCCTTAATAGTAATGCCACATGTCACATGCAAATTATACACTTTAGCTTTAATGCAAATAGATAGCAGAATTATATTACTGATTTTACATTGAACATTGTTAGTAGTTTAAGATGCTTATGAGAGTTTTTTATGTAATAAAACCTTGAACGAACACAAGGAAAGGTGACATCCTGTTCACACACATACACACAGCTGCAAACGAGAGCAAGCATCAGGTGAAGATGAAAGGCTATATTTGTTGGCATCTAAATGAATATGACCAGGTCAGGCAGTGCCTTCAGCCCATATCAGTAATAATAGAGAGTCGGGCCGTCGTCCTTGCCTTTTCCACTCTCTCTCCAAACCTCAATGAATACCAAACCTGGCCAGTGGAACTTTTCGCAACGTTAACTGTCATGACCCTGCACGGCCAGGCAAAACGGCTTAACTAAGCTGTCAACTCTAATCAAGCCAATAAAAGGATCAGATAAATGTTTATTACATTGTGGGAAAAGATCATTTCTATAATGAAATTGAGGATGACCTTTCCAGATAATTCCTAGTTGGCTTTTTTAAAAGGTGGATAAATCACCATCCCTTTGTTTGAGGCTGATGTGGTGGAACCTCGCTGATGGAGGGTATAAAACATTGTACCTGGTACTTGCTCTAATCCGCGGCCCAATTTAGTCATACAATCAAAACTGTTATCTCAGCTAATGGTGAGTCAGGGACACATTACATATACAGTAGGTCACTCTGTGCAGTGTAGCTTACACTGTAGCTAAGCTGCTACTTCTGGAGATTTGACTGGATCCCCAGGCAATAGCAACATCTGTTTAACTGATGTGTACCCTGGGAATGTAAGAATTTCATTTGACAAAAATGTTAACTAGTATGGCTTTAATACTGTACTTTCATATTTGGCACTTTTCACTAACAGGACACAGAACAGAATTCAAAACTTAATCTTCAGGAAATGTTGACTGTCAGCCTTAGGAGACTAAACTAAATATTTACTGTGTTTTAATTATTAGAATTATTTACAACCCTGCTACCCAATTTTGGGGCATATTTAAATATTTTTTAAAACCCTGATTTGTGTGATTTTATTTTTGTAGCAATACACGTGAAATAAATATTTGCATTAAACTGTTAGAATAATTAGAATTAAAATAGCCACAGCCAGTAGAAGTTACTGTAGCATTTTTCCTAACAATAACTTGGATAATAAAAAAAAAATCTATGAAATTAATCAATTAAACTATAAAATGGTACACATTTTTAAAGGGGTCCTATTATGCTTTTTCACTTTTTTAATTTTAGTCAGTGTGTAGTGTGTATGTTTGGGCATAAAAAAGATCTAGAAAGTTACAAATCTCAAAGTCCACTCCAAAGGGAGATATTTCGTTTTTTAAAAATCCCTTTTCAAGAACTAAAACGAACGGCTCGTTTGGACTACAGCATTTGTTTTCCGGG